TTGTTGCATTTGACCATAAACTACAGAATCATTGTTGCATTTTACTATAAACTGTAGAATCATTGTTGTATTTGACTATAAACTGTAGAATCATTGTTGCATTTGACTATAAACTGTAGAATCATTGTTGCATTTTACTATAAACTAGAATCATTGTTGCATTTTACTATAAACTGTAGAATCATTGTTGCATTTGACTATAAACTGTAGAATCATTGTTGCATTTGACTATAAACTATAGAATCATTGTTGCATTTTACTATAAACTAGAATCATTGTTGCATTTTACTATAAACTGTAGAATCATTGTTGCATTTGACTATAAACTATAGAATCATTGTTGCATTTTACTATAAACTAGAATCATTGTTGCATTTTACTATAAACTGTAGAATCATTGTTGCATTTGACTATAAAATACAGAATCATTGTTGCATTTGACCATAAACTACAGAATCATTGTTGCATTTTACTATAAACTGTAGAATCATTGTTGCATTTGACCATAAACTACAGAATCATTGTTGCATTTGACTATAAACTACAGAATCATTGTTGCATTTTAATGTAAGATAAAGAGGTGTTACAAATTCCAATAAAAATATGGTTGGAGAAAATTTGTTATATGTGTTCAAGTGGTGACTGGTAGGACTGATGAAAAACACACTTTTAAAGAGTTTTATTCAATGTATTAAACTAATCCAGATAACTAATTTAAACTTTCTTACCATTTAGGTGCAAGATGGAAGGCCATGTCGAACGCAGAGAAACAACCATATTATGAGGAACAGTCACGATTAAGCAAACTGCATATGGAAAGACACCCAAATTATCGTTACAGGCCACGTCCCAAACGAACCTGTATTATAGATGGGAAGAAACTTCGAATTTCAGAGTATAAACAAATAATGAAACATCGTCGTCAAGAAATGAGAAATATGTGGTAAGAAAGTATATTAATGATATCATACACCGTTATTACTTTTGATAGACCTCATTAGCATTGCATATTTTAATGAGGTACCACTAGACACAGATTACGTGTACACTAATTAAAACGAAAGCTAGGCCTTTTTACCCTTGTGCCATTGAAAGTTTCGGTAAACTCTGCGAAACCAAAAGTAGATAAGATATGCCCTGTTAGAGCTGCTGGGCTTAAGTTATTTCTCTCTATATATATTCCCCTTTTTACTTCTCTTAGACCTTGTGTTATTGCTGTATACTCCTATTAGTCTCATTAGACATTATGTTAATACTTTACATCTTTGTTAGATCCGGTGTATCTCTGCCTTGATCTTATGGTGGTGTTATTGCTGTATACCTATATATAATAATAAAACACCTTAGGTATGAAACAATGGTGCGGCCAAAAAAAGGATTGAGTGTGTGACTTAAAGGATTGAAATCAAAATTGGCGGCCAAACTAGTAGCTACACTTATAGTAGTGATAAAAATTTTACAGCAAATATTAATTCATTGGTTAGTCAGGCCGCGTATTTTATTTTATCCACCATCCTGCTCCAAGATGAACAAAAAAACGCGGCCTGGCTACCTAATGAATGAATATTT